CACTTACAACGCTCTCTAAAGATCAACCTGAGAGGTCGCCATTTACCAAAAAATCCAGAAAAAAAACCCAAGGTTGAAAAACACTGTCCTGAGGGATTATTGTCCATTAATCGTGCCTGACTGGTTCAGGCCCTTTAGGTATCTCGTACATGACCTTAATTATTCTTTCCTGACTTAGAAAAAAGGAAACATTAAATTCTCATAAAAAAAAACCCCGTTTGCGCCGATAACACTAACCTCAACATTCATCAAGGCAGCGTGACAGTTTACAAGCACACACCCTGAGAGGGGAGGAAGTGGAATGGAGCTCAGCCATTATTTGTTGACTTTATTCATACGCTCGCATGTCCCTCTGTGACCTGTCCAAATGACTCACTGCTGACTTGATACAATAATGAATAATGCATTTCATTGGTCGACCATCCTGTATTATTACTGTGAAATCCACGTTGCTGGTCTGCGTTAATAATGATATACGTATAGAGCCTGAAACGTAATGCGTTTGTTTTTCCGTCCAAAAGTTAGAATATTCACCGAGTGACATATTTAAGTCATACAACTAAAAATGAAACAAATTCAAGTTCACTTCTCTAAAAGTTGAGCGAGCGACAGTGAACTGTAGTATCTGTCAAACGTAATAAATAATTTGTTCTTTACCCCCAGAGCTCATATCGTGGTTAAATAAACTCAGTGTTTCAAGGTCACGTTGCAACTCGCGGGTTTTAGAAACGGGTCAGATTAACTGTTGCTGACATTTTAAAGCTTCTTATGTCCACTAGACTGTCACAAGACTGTGCTTCAGTTCAGTGGAATCAATGATCAATAGTACAGGGTGTCCTTGCCCTAGGGCAGGCATGGCCAAACTAAGGCCCGGGGGCCGGATGAGGCCCGTTCATCTTTTTAATCTGGCCTGCCAAACTTGATACAAAATGATATAATTTATTTATAATATCATTATACTTCTACCTTTTCCCTGCAATACCCACGTTTCCCCAATAGATGGTGTAGAAAATGATAAAAGCATTTTAGCCTTTATGCATGACTTTTACATGTCATTTGTTTTAGCTCACACCAACGCTTCATCTATCTGCTCCTGACCCGGCCCCCCCTGTTCAATTTTAGACCTGCAAGTCAAAACGTTTGTACGCCTGGTTTAGGGTGTCGTCGGTTTCCAGCTCCAGCTCTGACTTTTGGTGTTTAAACATTAGTTTGTGGGTGGAGTGGACGAATACGTCATCAAGCGGGGTTGTAAGTGTAAGACAGACTCTGCTGATGTTTTTTTAAGTCCTATATTATGACGTTACCACTGTGTTAGCTCAGTTGAGCGACAGAGGTTACTGATGTACAGTACGTGAGCTCCAACTTGCAGTGATCAAGTTAGAAGGCATCGTAGGAACTGAACTCCGACACATGACCCCATATATTGTAATTGTTCTGTCTCTACCTGATGCAGTTGTTTGTCAGATTGAGCAGGGTCTAAATGTCACATACTCTGTGTTTGTGTGTCTGTGTGTGTCTGTGTTTGTGTGTCAGGCTCTGCGAGAGGACGTGGAGAGGCAAATGGAGAGAGAGCGAGAGCTTCAGCAGAGATACGGAGAGCTGATGATGGAGAGAGAGCTGCTGCACAACAGCACTCAGAAGTCCTGAGCATGACAGTTAGAACTGCCGTACACACACCACACACACACACACACACCACACACACAAACACACCACATAAAGCAACCGCAGCTCCGAAAACCAGATCGTCACTTTTCCGCCCGTCGAGTCGTACTTTACTGTATTGTGAATTGTTGAAATGCGTCGGCAAATTCCGATGAGACGTTAATGTCACTGCATTTCAGTGACGTCCTGACGTCTCTTGCGTTTCTGTGATAGTGACCAATAAACTTTCTTCTCAACATGGCGGCTTGTTGTGACTGCGGTGTAAGCAGTAGTGGTTTTTTTTGTTTGTTTGTTTCTTTTTACAAAGTGTTGGGTCCAGAAAACTATGAACAAAAAAAATCTTTATTTGAATGATAGAAAATAGAAAAAGCATCTCTCCCTCTGTTGAGGGATGAAATAATTCCTAGCAGGCGAGGAAGGCCATCCCACTCCTGCAGTAAGCCGTCTGGAGGAGAAACAGAAGAAGATTTTAGCATCTTTAGCAACAACTTTCATAATTACTTTTTTTGAAAAGGGGAAGGTAATAGTCAGTTGGGTCTTTGTCTAGAGATTCACCCCTCATCAGAATTTAAGTCGAACTAGAACGC